AGTTCGATTGGTAACTCGAACTGAGTGGATGACAATTCAGGAAGTTATCGGGCGAATCGGATTTCCAATTGGCCGAGCGCGTGAGGCTGATCATATGAAATGTCGTCGGACTATGATGGCATCAAACATTCGTTAGTTAGGGGGGTTGATAGTCCAAACCTTCCTCACCCACCCTCTCCCCCTTAGTAAAAAGAAGAGAGAACCAGAGTGACAGCTAGTAACCTTGTTTATTATCGAATTATAGAGGAAAAGAAAAACAAGTTCTTAACATCGCCGGAAAAACCTACTTGATTACTTTACTTATTTATTAATTTACACAATGTTAGTATAATGACATATGGTAGGGTGATTCCAACACATAAGTATCTTTATTTGATGCTCCTCTGTAAGAGGTGTATCCAACTGATTTTCCCACAAAAGAATAAACCCGTAGCGCAACTTTATCAAAGTCTTCTATCTGTATGACAAGGTAGTCTTGCATCCAAGACATTAAGGGATATTGAAAGGAGGTCCTTCAAACTGAAAGAAGATAGGGGCGCGTAGGAATTGATTTCAGCATAATTTTTGATCCGAGAAAAATGCGTGACTTCCATTCTGTCTGTCACCGATCATAACTTGTACTTTAATCTCGTTACCAGATTCTACCGTGTAATTTAATTGAAATGTGGCAATGGAAGGTCTGGGTGAAGGACTTCGTTTACTTATCATTATGGTTTCAACTCACCCAATCATATATCTTGACATACAAAACAAGAAATAAATAAAAAAAAGGCAGCGAAATTAAAATCTTACTCATCGAATCTTACTCAAGACGCGGAAAGCTAAAACTACTTTAAAAGACAGTGTTTGCAATAAGGTTACAAAAAGAACCACACGAAGAAGGCCCCAATTGTATAACAGCTACTCATCACCGCGATTTTCAATGCTCCTGACTCCGCAGTGGGCCCTTCTCCTTTGTTGCAGAGATTCTCCTCACAACACATGTCACAGATTATGTCGCCGTTTGTTCCGTCTGGATCTGAACATTTGTTGGTGCAGTCTTCTGCCTTGGCGCATTTTCGCTTGAAAAAGGTTATCTTCTTGTCTTGTTGAACAATTTTATCGATACGACACGAATTCTCATTCGCACTGCAGTTTTTTATTGCGTTATGACCCAGCCCACTAGATAATGATTTGCAGAATTCGCCAGCATCGTTTTCAAAAATGCAGCTGTAGCACTGAAGACAGGATCCTGAAATTGAAAGGAGGAGAAACAGGATGTAGATGACAAAAAAGGATGGCACGAATCGGTATAAGTGTGTTATTTCTGCGGGGCAGACTTCTTGGCCTCTCACCGTGGGTCAAAAAAGTAGGAAAGTGATATTTGCACGCCTTTTTTCAGTCATAAATCACAGCGTAAAACTGATTGCACACCCCGTTTCAAAAAAGGGTGAAAAAAAAAAAAAACAAAAAACAAAAAACAGTCCACATCTGAATGGATTCAGATGAAACCTAAATACATACATACGTTCGCTTCCCATGCAGAGCGCGTGACTGTTTATCGACTGGAGCGAAAACCGGAAAATCTGGCTGATGTTGCTTATGTTCTGATGAATGATGTAATATTACCGAAGGCGTTTCATCGCCTTGTCAACATGAGCATTTAACTTTTTATTTGAATCGTAACAGTTTTAATCAGACCGAATGGATCCATAGATGATTTTATTTCCTAAAGACCATTTAAAAGCTACATCGAGGTTTTCTATCTCGCAAAAGTAAGGGTATATCATAAAACTTTTGTCAATCTTCGCCATTCTGTATGCCTCTTTCCCTCCTGTTTATCATTAAACATCTTTACCGGGTGTGAGTCTACTTCTATTATGCTAATTTTCTCTTATCAGCTCAGGCAACTCTTGCGATACTTTAAAATGATTCAAAATATGTCAATGAAGCACATTTGAAAATGGAACAAGTTTTTCGGTCGCGTGATCATCAAAAACCACGTGAAAGCAAAAAAAAATACCCACCGGAAAAAGAAAAATTTGTTATCAGTTTCGTTTGTAGATACTGTTACCCATCAAAAGTAAGAGGACGATTTAACCCTCAAATATTTCTTTGAATAAATTATGTTTTCACAAAAGGGTTGTTACATAGTCCTTGCAAGGGAAGCACGATTATTTTCGCAAAAATCCTAAACAGGGAGCTATTCTGTTTCGAAACTGAACGGTTCAAAGGTTCCTTTTATCAGACATTAACCGCAACTGAGGAACCCGTGACGGGCTTTGCGCTTTGCGAAATAAAGTGAATAAAACCAAGAACCTCGTTTGGCTGCGGTGGGCTTGAAATCGAAGTTGACTGCACAATACTAAACAATTTCTCTGTCGCTCGAGGTCACTTCGGATGTTGATATATATGAGTGGATAAAATAAATATTATGAAGCTTGTTCCTTACCTAATGTCACACACAGCAAAACTAGTAGCAGTCCAATGATTGCCTTCAAAAGCATCTTTCCTCTGCGCTTCTGATTAAAACGATTTCAGATGGACAATCACAGGAACTCTTAACGAGACGTTGTATAACTCCTGTCTGGAGACTTTCTGTCAGCGCAGATTATATATACATATACATATATTGTGGGGGGTTTCCCTTTTTTCTAAGAAAGGATTTCCCTTTGTAATTCCCACTTCAGGGCCTAGCGAGAATTTCAGGATTTAAGAACCTGATAACTGAGTAACCTTCTAAAACTACCAACGGCCCAATACCCGCGGTTAATGCTCTATTTGTTGTTGCGAGGAAGCGTTTTCCAGGAAACTTATGCTATTTCGAGGCTAAACGATATGGCAAATAACGTCATGATCACAAACTATGAGATGAATTTCCGTGATATGAAAGCTCTGGCTGTCTATCTTGAGGGAAAAATGTTGGAAACGAATTTGTTCGATTTTAGAACATTACACTTCAGCTCAAAACTGACACTTTACGCTTATTCGCGCCCAGTAGTAATAGCCTGTGCTGTTCAACCTAAACAAATATCACATCATTGTAACGAACCTTTTTCCGTTTATAATTTTTTTCTACTTTCTTTTCAGTCGCAAATGTCTACACAGCTGAGCAACGACCTGTGAAAATAAACAACATCCTGTAAAAAGAAAGAAAATCTAAATCCTTGGTACACTGATCATTCCTCGTGTTCATGATATCTCTAACTCGTTCGCTTTTCTCACTAACACCCAAAGATAAAATTCGTATCTTCGCGCGGCCATGCATATGCAATGTCCTCTAGATATATTCAACGCCGAATAGTACCTAATGCTCATGTCACGACGATATCACGACGTTCATACAGCGTATTTTACAACGTGTTTATTCGCTTGGCCCTCTCCTGTCTACATCTACACTTTTCTCCACTCGCCTCGTGCTCGCTCGACCGGTCTAAACCGGTTTTCCCAGAAATCACTTGTGTCACGCTCTATTTTTTTGTTGTATCTTTTTCGATCCTTCCCTTCCCCCCCCAAAGTTGCTTAGTATGACAAAACCCGTCAACAGACACTGATAGGTGTGTTTTATTATTCTATAGTGCTGCTCTTGATTAACCAAGCATACAAATCATTCATGTTAACTGGATGTCTATGATCAAGAAGAGTAGGGTCCTACGTCCTTTTTGTGAGGCAGATGGGATGTTTTGCTGATCTACCACTATTTTCTCCCACTATTCTGTTAACTCACACAATCACAAAAATTACATCTACTAATAATACAGAGCTAATTGAACCGACATACGCTTATAAATTGGTAAAAGCCACATCATGAAGATAAACAAACACATGAGCAGACTAAATGTACTTTAAACGGCAGCGGTCACGACAAAGTTACCAAAGGAACCACGAAAGGGAGCCCGCGATAGTGTATAGGCCCCTGATCACTGCTATCCGCGATGCTCCTGACTTTTTGGCCGCCTCAGGTACCGGTCCTTCTCCTTTGTTGCAGAGGTCCTCTTCACAGCAGGAGTCGCATACAACATCTTTCATCTGTTCATCTGGATCTGTGCAACTGTTCGAACAATCTCCTTCTTTGGCGCATTCTCGCTTAAAAAGCGTAACTTCGTTATTATCTTGAGTCATTTTTGTGATCATGCACCGATTCTGACCCTCACTGCAGTTGACAATAGTGTTCTCTCCCAGTTCAGATGATGATGGAAACTTGCAGAATTCTCCAGCGTCTGATTTGTCTTCGCGAACGCAACTGTAACACTGCAGACAAGATCCTAAAAATTAAACGTAGCGACACATGTAAATGAAGATAGAACAAAAAGATAAAGGCAATTTGGTAAGAATAAGGTGCTGGTAATGTATAGCAACAAAAGTTCTTAAACAGGCAGGTAAAGAGTCCGGAGCTACGAGAGAAGGAAGCGGAGAGTAAAGACGAAGGAGACTGGGGAAAAAATGGTGATATTGATGACAAAAGTAATAATCATGATAAAAATTATTATACTAATAATAAAAGTAAATAATGATAATGATTATAACCGTAACGATGATGATAATAATAATAACAATAATAATCTATTTAATGGAAACATATTAGAGTTCCACTCTTCCACCTCCCTTCTCATCTTTTAACCCTGAGAATACCGGACATGATCAGTTAGAATGTTTTACAGTCGAAATCTTTATTAGGTCATGCTGATACGTTCAATCATTTTCATTGATTACATCATCGAAAAAAGTAGACTTCAATCCTGCGATTCAGTCAGATGATGCAACTTAACCAGTATATGCACTCATCTGAAATTGCCACGAAAGTCCCATGTAATTCATCAAAAATCGAAAGTGAAATCATTTTTTTTTAGATTGATTACTTCCTGACTTGCATTACGCGGCGTTTCGTCTCGGTCAAAAGACTCTGGATTTGTTTTCACGTATAAATAGAAAGAAATGTGATGAAGGATTACGCAGAAAGTGAAAAATTCGTAAAATGGCTGAATGATTTTCCTATGTAAATACACTTGAAACTGTTGACGATCTTTTCCATCTCTGCTGACGTACTCCTAAGAAAACCTGTCATCAACTCGTAAACGAACTTTTCGCTTCACCTTAAGCCCGATTGCTCTGTCGAGGATAACATTTCCAAACGGATTATTTGGTTCTGATTGAGATTATACTGGATTATGTTATTGCACTAACCCTATCAGGGCAAACGCATAAAAATGAAGAAAAAAATAATCCCAAGTTTTCATTCTCGCTCGGAAAGGTTTCATTTACTAAAATAAATGAAAGTAAGCGTGGGCTATATCTATCGAGGACGCTACCTTGATCACCAATATTGTATAAGAACACTTCTTGATTCAACGATTGTGTTGTTTAACTGGTAGTGTATCTTCCAGAGCTTTATGTTTAAAAAATTTTGTTCATAAAGAACGATCTTATAATTATCGCGTGACTGACACACAGTTGTTGATGTGGTATGAGTTAAAAATATTTTACATTACGCATCAATCACCGCGGGGAGTTCAGAAGAGGCGACCGGAAAAGAAGCATTTTTTCAGTTTGGTTTGTAGATATCATCCTTTTGAATAAATCAAGTCAAATTCTTCATCATGAAAGATTACAACGCATATTCGCATAGTTGATTCTCGTTTTTTCTGAAATCAACTTTGATGTCGTAACTTGATTGTCTACTTTCGTAAAGCGGATTAAGTGGCAGTAGATATTATTTTAAGGGTTGCTTGGCAGTATTATCTTGTGGGTCCAAATCCAGGTTTCCCTCATACTAACCCCTAAAGAATTTTGCGTCGGTAAACGATAGAAGAAAGATAACCTTTATTTTGGCTCCGGTTTGTTGTTAAACACGAAGGCAGTTACTATTCAAACAGAAAATATTTTCTGCGAGGTGCTACCATTAAGATATCTGAAAATTACATGAAAATCAAGATTCATTACACTCACCTATTGTTATACACGAAATTATTATAAAAAGTCCAACGAATTTCCTCGCTGCCATCTTACCGTAGTGCTTGTGAAAGGGGACTTCTAATGACGATGGAATCGCCGACTACAATACTGACTCACGGCCTCACCGCTGTCTTTTCAAAACATATGTGGGCCGGGTTTTCAGTTTTCTGCCACGTGATGAATTGATGACAGGAGGGTTTGAAAGAACAATCGAGAACTTTGCTGACTGGAGAAAAAGGCCTCGACACAATTCCACTTCCTTGATAAAGTCTTTCTTTTTTTTGAAGTAATCTCATGAGATATAATCCTTTAAGTGTTCAGACAGTTAAACCTCAAAGTTTTCACAGTGGCAGTATATTCAGTGGAAGAAATTTCGAATACCGATCGCGTCAAGGTAACGACTCCTATCACCTGTCTGTGATGTTTATCTTCGCTATTTTCTCTGTTATTGTCTTTGAGCCCTTTATCAGAGTTCGTTGCGGGGAGGGCCTGGATTGAGAAAACAATCATCGGAACTTAGGTATATTGCTTCGAAAAAATTTTAAAAAATATATAACCTTTTTTTAAAAAACTAGTTAGCGTCAATCAGTCAACTGTGACAAAGAGGAGAACGAATATGCGTTACAGGTGCGAAAATATTAGAAGCATCAAAAATTTACTTTGTTTGATATGTGATGCATCATCTTTGAGTAAATGAGTATTCACACGTGAGCATAACCCACTAATTTAAGGATAATTAACTTAACCAAACAAGATAATTGAAAGACATTTAATTTCATCACCTCTAAAATATTATCAAAATAAAAACCAGAGTAACTGCAAACAAACAAACAAAAAAATGTAATCTCGTCTCCCAATGAATCAACCTGAACCTTGAAACAAAAATCATCGCAATGATCGTACTTTGGAAACAATTACCATTCGGTAGAAGAAGAAAATACTTGACATCTCCATCACTGCTGCATAAGATACTCAACTACTCAGTTTGTTTAACCTCAAAATGTGTGTCAATCAGTTTTAATTCTGTTGTTGCCAAGAGTTTCTCCACTTTGAGCACCGAGTCACTCCATCTTAATTCTCTGACTGGTCATGCGATAAATAATACTATCACGTCCCGGATCCATGTACCACATCACTAGGCATATTACATATAAGGAGATGACTAGAACTACAAGCAGCCACAACGAGATGTTGAATATTATGGGATAGTCCTCGGAGTATTCGGTGGCCAAGTTTACTTTGCCCAAATCAGTGTCGGAACCAGCCTATTAGACGATAACAATAACTAGTGAGTAACATATCGATAAATAGACTATTTTTTAAGTGGTAGATGCCAGTGCATAAGTCAACTTTTAAACTTCATCTAAGTTTTCCTTTGGAGTTAAAGACATCATTTGTCATTTGCAAACTAAGGTTTGATCAATCCCACGCCGAAGAAATCTATTTGATTAACCTGAAATACATTTGTACCTGGTATTGTGGATCACTGTCCACTGCACGCCGGATTCTGGGCTTTCTATTACAATATACCTGAAAAAAACATGGGTGACGAAGTTTAATGGACAGTTTCAGCACCGTCAAACGCCGTTGTAAAAAAATTTCAAGAAAATAACTTGAAAGAAACAGAAAAAGACGGATTAGGGAGTACATAGGAACAATTGGGAACGACACAAGAAACCATGGAGTGCCCTGCGCATGCGCTGTATAAATTCAATCCAAAGAAGACAGTTTTAATTAATTTAATTTTGAAAACGCGTTGAAACATTTTTCATCATATACTATGGAATAGTAAGTTTGTGAATTTATCAATCACGTTTCTCCACACTGATAATTCTCTGATAAGTATATGCGCGATCTGCCAGGTTGTTGTTGTTGTTGTTGGGACTTGAAGGAAATTGATAACTAAAAAAAAGTACTCAACCAAACACATACCTTGAGTGCAGACTGTACCGAAAGAAGTTTATTATGCAATGACTCACACAACGACTGTTTCGCTTGTTCCTCCTGTTCAATAACAAATCCAAATAACAACTTTATTGAAAATCTGGTCAGTTTAACAGTAATAGTAACACAATTGTATTCTGGTAGAACAGGAGCAGAAGGGGAAGGCACTAAGAAAATAAGGCATTGGTGACCTGAGGGGCATGACAAGGGAGGGGTAAGAAGGGAAAGGAGACTAGAGAGGGGATGGTCTGTAGAAGGAGGAAGGACATGAGGTAGTGAAAAAAGAGGAGGGAAATGGGAGGGGTGCAAGGTATGGAGGGACGGGAACGGAGAATACGAAGAGAGGGGTAGGAAGGAGAACGATGGAGGGGGAAAGGAAAAAGAGTGAAGGAAGATAGGGGAAGGTCTGTAGGAGGAGGAAGGACATGGGGTAGTGAGAGGAGCGAGGGGAATGGGAGGTGTAGGTGTAGGGTGTGAAGAGATGCGAACGGAGGAAGGAAGATAAACGTGGAGGAAGATAGGGGAAGGTCTGTAGGAGTGGTAAAGGAAGGGGGAAGTGAATGAGATCAATGAAGGAGAGAAGTACCAGGTCTAGGGTTCAAAGAATAAGAGGAGAAGATGGGGAGGGGTAGGAATGGAGAGAGGAGAGGAATGAAGACGAGGGTTGAGTAGGGAGGAGAAAAAGAGTTGGGATTAGGTAGGGTGAGGGAGCGGCGAACAGTGATGTGACGCAAAAAAACGCGATGAGAGGGAAATGAATGAAAAGGAAGGAAGGGTGAGGGAGTCAGAAAATTAAATCAAGCAAAGACTCTCAATTTTCGCGCCATTCTTGAATGTTGCTGTTACCAAGCAATAAAACCTTAAAAATTCACTCGCACAAAAACAAAGTACACAAACATAACTGATTCCACTCAAACAACAGCAACTACTCACCAGATCATGCCTGAGCGTAACAGAGGGAAGCTGGTCATGGAAAAGGTCCCTTGACTGTGATAACAGGTGAGGTTCAACTTCTTGATAGACGGCGTGCACCTCTCGTGGGTATCTGGTGTGAAGATCACTGTTGGGAGTGGGAGGGGGAAATTAAAAGACAGGTTAGTAACAGCACTTCCCACGATTAATCATTTGCTTCCACAGTATACAGAATTTTCTTTAAATATAACAAAGAAAATGCTATCAACTTACCCAAGCCACTGCAACGACAAAACTTCCACCAGAACGTTTCCGTTGTATAAATCAGAGAACTTCTTCACAATCTGTAACGATAGAATAGTGGAATGAAATGGTTTAAAATTGTACGGTTAAGGTGCGGTTAAGGTGCTTGGTGAAACAAGGCAACCATTTGATGATCTCTACCTGGGGAATCAAGTCCTTCAAAAATTGAATAGCTCCTTCTGCCTGTAAGGATTGGTCACCATAGCGACGGCGAAGTCCCTGTAAACGAGGCATGAGTAGAAACCATTTAGTGCATATAAGGAGGAAAACATTGCGAGTAAATGAAAAGCTCAAATTTGGAACACAACAACAATATTTAACTCATTCGAATCCAGAAAGTTATAGGTTGCATTTAACTGCAAAGTAATATGCAAAATTTGTGAATCACAAAACAATAGAAGTAAAAAATAGAGCCATGTGTATAAAACAAACACATTGAAATAAAAAGGAAAAAAAGAGCACAAAAAATATCAGTCAAACAAACGAACAGATTAAAAAACTAAAATTACACTGCAACCCTCTAGTTTCGTGTGAGAGAGCTTAAGCAAAACCTTACCTTAACAGAAGAGAGACCCAAAGTGAACACATCTGGAACGCCATCTTGCACAAGGCTAGGATCAGAGCTCAGCTGCAAAACAAAACAAGGAATTATAAAGATGTTCTGAAATTGTGAGTTTCTTGAAAATACAAAAATCTTCTTTTATAATCGCGTGCTAATTGTTGTTGTTTTTTTTATTCATATAAATTGGGAATTCTTGTTTTGCCTTCAACATTACATGAATGCGATTTTCACCTCAAAAACGAGGCCAAGTAAACCTATTAGCATGTACGCAGAGGTAAAACAGTTTGCCCGCCATCGCAAAAGGGATCTCTTCTGAGGATAAATCTCTCACCTTCTCTATTATTTGAAGGATGGCATCGACCTCAGCGAAGAGTAGAAAATCTTCCTGAAGAGAAAATTACGCGAAAATTCAGTGGCACTCTTTGACACGGAAGTGAGTTCATACAACTGGAGATGACAAATGCATGTTTGTTTGCTTTTTTGTGAATATGTTTAGATCATATTATATGCTTACTAAACCAAAAAGTGTCATCTCTTGCATGAAACTAAAAACATATTTGTTACAATGTTTAAAAAGGAGACTTGGTTAGCAAAGATGAAAAACCTTCTTTTCCATGTTGAAGACAGCATTTCCTTTCAAAGGCACTGACACAGTAAATTCCTTGGTGCTTGGAGCAAACTTTACACCTGACGACCAAACAAGACAAGTAATTACAAGTGTATATTTTTTTCTAAGTGTACATCTCCTTATATGTTTTTATCCGACCCAGCTTCATAGAGGACTGCTTAATAAAAAAAGAAAGAAACCTACCTTTACCAAAGTCAGCCTTCTCCAGTCTTTTTATTATCTTAAAGGTAAACGAGTCCGTTTAATTCAATAAAGTCTAACCAACTGTTCACGCCAATATGTTTTACGGAAATACCGGCCACTCGGTCTGCTAACCTAGTTGTTCTGAGTTTGACTACAGTAAATCATGGCGAGACATGGTATCTTTTAGATGGCAATTTTACGAATAAAGAGCCTTTATCCCAAATTCCACCTCATCAATATGTGATTAGTATCCTATTTCTCCTTACACCATCTTCTCTGAATCAAACATTAAGGTCATGAGAATAAAGGACATGATCATCAACTAAAGAAGCTCTTCATTGTTAAACAAATTTTCCCTGTCAGCATCTAAGGAAATAAACAGAGGATAGTATGTAGACTATCCAAACTGATGTTAGGGTGTAAAGGGGTTTAAGCCACATTTAACAAGCTGTGCTAACACCCAAAACGATTTTTCTGTACGAGGATAGCTGTTGATCCGTTAATTGCTTCACTCGAATCCTACCTCGTCTTTGGTGACTATCAAGTCTCCCAGACCTTGCACGGTGTTTTCTTCGGCCTGTTCAAACTTGTTCTCGGCCTGATTCCAAAACGAAGTGTAACTATTTGTGCCTATTGTATGACCAGCAGCCGCCAACTGAACATGGAAACACAGCAAATTGTATTACTATAATAAATATGTATAAGCGCGGTAAAGCCATACCCGCGCTAACCTTTGTACCCAATCTTCCTCAAACTATATGGTTTGGTTTTATCAATTAAGT